AAAAGGTCCTATAGCTCCTACCTTGTTTACTGAACCTGTACAAGATTCCAGCTAGCCCAAGGCGGCCATGCTGTGAGGAAGCCCACGGTCAGGCCACCCAGTGGCTCTCCGGTAGGCAGTGCTCGTAGGGTCAGACTTGTGAGTAGAAAGCCTTCAGATATTTCCAGCCCCTCCACCACCCCCACCCATGATCTAGCCACTTCCCCAGTGTTTGAGCTTTCCCAGGTGAGGTCCCAGATAAGCCATCCCTCCTGTGTTCTGTCTGAATCCCCGACCCACAGCATCTGTGAGCATAATAAAATTAGACATTGGGCCCAAAGAAGTAGTGTAACCTCTGGGTGCTATTGGGGCCTTGAATGTGATAGGGAGTGAGGGGTGTGGGAAACACCCAGTCTTTGGCTCTGAAGTTGCTGGCTCGCCATTAGTAGTAATATTAGCAATAACACTGCTAGTAATAATAACAAGGTCTGGTCTGGAGTTGAGGGCAGCCTCAAGTTTGGTAGGCTCCAAATCTGCTACCTGTTTTGATCTCTTTTGAAATTCAGGAATAACTTTTCCCAAACAAAGGAAAACTGTTGAACTTCTCAGGCAGTGAAATAATATTTTTGGACATGGAGTAAAACAAACATTTAAAAAGTATAAATGAAGCTAAAACAATATAAGGGATTCTTTTTAAGGATATGTACAATCATTGGATAGCTCTCCATTCACACTTCATGTTTCTCTGAAGGACTATTCAATTACTCATTGTTTAGCTGTGGTAAGTCCAAGAATTAACTACTTATGATTCCAAAATTCACTGTTTTCAAAAGACGGAAATCTTACAACTGGAGAGAAATCGAAGAGCTGCCCTTAAAATACTACTTTCTCAGTTACAGTTTATCCATTTTAACATGATTAATGGTAAAAATATCTTGGAAATGCAAACATTTAATTGACAGTATTTAGAAAAAGCAACATCATCTGAATGAGCTGATCATTCTGTTGGGCTTTGGTGCCTTGCTAGTAAATTTCCCGTTTCTTGCTCTCCTTCCCGCCCTGATCCCATTGCTCCTACTCCCAAACCATCCCCCATCAAGTGTTAAAACTGGAAAATGTGGAGCCTTCAAGTAATCCAGACAGGAACTGCACGTGGCTCTGCAGTTTCCCAGCCCCCTGCTTTAATTATGAGATAAAGCATAAGGTCACCTCGTTAACTGAAGAAATAATTGTTTTTTCTGCTTCCTGTAAACTAGTCGAAAAGAGGATTAAAGATTCACCAGAAATACAGGCCACTGTGGAAACCAGGTATAAAGAATCATAAATCTGAACTGTTCTTGTTGCTCTCAGAAAGTCAGTCAAGTGCTCCTTTCTTACGGTGGCCACCACTGAGAGGGCTCCCTGGGTTAAATCGAAAGTCATTGGTGTTTCTATGTCTAACTCATTCTGTATTTTGGTGAATGGAAAGCTGTTTGGAACCTTTCTAGGCAAAGCAAATCATACCTTTTGCAAATGCAGTCTTTTCAATGAAAGGGCAGAGTATGGAAAGCAAGCAGAAAGCTGAGGAGAGTGGAAGGGTCAGCCAATGAGGAAGACCTGGAGAAATGCACGCGAGCGTGTGAAAGCCGGTGACCACTGTGTTCGCTGAAGTCACACTGCCACGTCCTTCACCCTCTCCTTTGTCATCTTCTGAACTGCTACTAGGGAATAACTTAATTGGCAAATTTGAGTAAGATGAAGTATTTGGAGAAATGCAGAATAAAACTAGAAAATCAAAATTAAGGAATGTAGAAAAGCTGCAGAAGGGCGGGGGGAATGAAGGCAAGTAACTGGAAAGAATAATTGGAAAATAGTACGCTAGGAGACAGAAGAACAGAAACCTTTTGAGAGGACATTCAATGAAAACCAAAAGGTTTTTCTTTTTTTATAAGTTTACTTAAAAAAAGTTTATTGGAACGCTTTGATTTAAACTGAGCATCAGCATTAATATATGGGATAAAATACTTTTAACTTATATGAGGAAAACCACAGAAAGGTTTTTAAAAAATCAGGTATTTTGTATTTATTTAAATATATTGATTTCAGAGAGAGGAAGGGAGAGTGAGAGAGATAGAAACATCAGTGATGAGAGAGTCATTGATCCACTGCCTCCTGCATGCCCCCCGCTGGGGATGGAGCCCCAAACCTGGGCATGTGCCCTGACTGGGAATCAAACCATGACCTCCTGGGTCATGGGTCAACTCTCAACCACTGAGCCACATCAGCCTTGTCCATGTTAAATGTTAGGCACTTTTTCACCCTCACTATAGCCTCTGCAAAATTGGTACTGTTCGTATTTTATAGATGGTGACACTGAGGCTTAGAAGTGTAGTGACATTCGCCTGAATTCATGAAGCTAGTGGGTACTCGAGTCAGAATTCAAACCCAGCCCAGCTGGGCGTGGCTCAGCGGTTGCGCGTCGACCTAGGATCCAGGTGATCGGGGTTTGATTCCCGGTCAGGGCACATGCCCGGGTTGAGGGCTCCATCTCCAGTCAGGGGCGTGCAGGAGGCAGCCGGTCAATGACTTTCATCATTGATGTTTCTCTCTCTCCCTCTCCTTTCCTCTCTCTGAAATCAATAAAGATTTTTTTTTTTTTTAAAAAAAGAATTCAAACCCAAGTCTACCTCCAGCACTTGATCTTGGTTTTACTTTCCTGTGGGACCGCCGCCTTGTATCTGAATTCTGATGTCCAAAAAGCACTTAAAAAAATTGAAGTTCTTTTTTCATAACTTTGGTGACAAAACTCATTGCATGGCAAAACCTTGACTCAACCTGACTTGAGATCATGGGGTCACGGTCTTTGGCCTTTGTCCTGCTCAGTATAAATATGCATAGATCTCACTGCAGATACGTTATATGTGTATAATAGACCATATTACACATGGATCTACGCACTCCTTTTTACCTTCCTAAAATCTGGAAACCTTTAAATTCGGAAACCAACTTGCCCTGTGGGTTTCCAGAACAGATGTGGACCTGACCTCCCCTTGCCACCTGGTGCCTGTCAGCCTGCACTGTCACTTCCCATCGCCCTCCTTCTTCACCCTACCTACGTGCTCTAATTTGCTGCTCCGAATATGTTGTGGAAGGGAGAGGGGGAGGGGGGAGAGAGAGACATCGATATGAGAGAGAAACATCGATCAGTTACCTCCCACACATACCCCAACTGGGGATGGAACCCCCAACATAGGTATGTGCCCTGATCGGGAATCGAACTTGCAGGCTTTCGGTGCACAGGACAACACTCCAATCACCCGAGCCATGCGGTGAGGCTGGAGCACGTTTCTGTCTTCAGAGCTTATATTCTTTCTATCAGGTCCTCCATCCCCCAACCACCATTGAGTTTACAGCAGGGCTGGGGGATTTGGGGCAGACCCCTTTGTCATGGAACTACTCAGGTCACGTGGCAGCCAGGGGAGGGGCTCAGGTTTCCTCTTTCAGGGTGCGTGGACCTTTTCTCTCCCTGTGTCCTAGTTATGTAAATTTGATGCACAACCAGCTCAGAGTCCCTGACCTGTCTTTATTTATTTTTTTTTTGTTAATCTTCACCCGAGGATATTTTTTTCATTGATTTTTAGAGAGAGGAGAGAGGGAGGAAGGGAGGGGAGGAGGGA